GTGTCTTGCTTAATATTTTTTCGTCAACTTCTTTTAAAATCTTCTTCTTTATTTCACACCGCTAAAACAAATTCGTTTCTTCATTTGCGACATAACTCTAGAATCTTACTTAAAAAACTGGCCCAATCTCCTCTTGACTAATGAACTTCACTGATTGATTGTCCAGATCAAATGACTATGATATTACAAAAAGCAACCACTCTCTTTTAGAAGCAACCCAAACCCCTTTAACAAAATGGTCTCACCCCCACCCCAACACAGCAGGCCGATGCTCTTCTGAGAGCCTCCCACAACAAACAACACCATAAATTTGTCCTAATTCCCCCTCTTCTTTCTTCGCCCCCGTCCTTCCTTACTGTACTTCTTCGAATGTTTCACACTTGCTGCCTCAAAATAGTTGGAGATTTTATTTGACCTTCACACTTCGTCCCAATGAAACACGCAGAAGTATGAAAACTGAGTTCGCAAAAAAGAGATTTTCCTGATTTGTAGTTCGTAAATAAGAGCGCAAAATTACATTACATCTATGGGAGTGTATTCGGGACCATTCGCTAGTTCGTCAAATCGAGAGTATTCGTAAAAAAGAGGTTCGTAAAAACGAACGTCTACTGTAGAAGAATCGAGAACAAAATTTAGGGATGGTAAAATTTTTAGAGTTTAGGAGAAGCACTATGTAGCAGAATCTAGGTACAGCAGATTTTTTAGAACTAAGTAAGAGCAAGTGGCAGCAAAATTTTGGACCTGCAGAAATTGCACCACTGGTAAAGTGTCTACCTTCTACTTTCTACCCTGCTACCTTCTGGCTGTCTTAAAAGGTAAAAATATATTTACAGGTGAAAATTGGCGATTTTTGGCGGTACATGGATACAGAGTTTGTGCAATTCATTGACTTGTTATTTTTGGCTTGAGTAGCAGCAACTTTTGTGCTAAAAATCGCCGCAACACAAAGCCAAAATAACAAAGACAAAGAATTGCACAAACTCGGTATCCATGTACACATCGACATATTTTCACTTTAAAAAAAAATCAGAGAATTACACAAACTTGGCATTGTGCACTTCCTTGATGTTATCCATGTACACATCAACCTATTTTCACTTAAAAAATATCAGAAAATTGCACAAACTAGGCACTGCGCACTCCCTCGACTTTGTCCATGTACACATCAAACTATATTCAATTAAAAAGTCAAAGGAGCAGCCACCAAAAAAATATATAATCTCAACAAACTACATTTTAAATTCAACAATCAAATAACATAAAAAACGAAATTCATCTTTGAGTTAATCTTTGGATTATAGTAACTCGGCGATTTTTGGCAACCAACCCTGCTACAGCAACCTTCTACTTTTTCTTCGGTGCCATTTTGTCTTCACAAAGTAAAGACAATTTTTTTTTTTTTTTTTTATTTACTCAACATTTTTTTCCAACAATCTGCTAGCCGAATTATGCTTATGCTAGAAATTTTATGGAATAAAAGTGCTTAATCATGACGAATATTAACTGCAAAATTGGGAGAAAGTGCAGAATCGCAAACTCCTTGCCGCGTTTTTCAGAATGGCACATACACGGTAAACATGTACACGTCAACCTATTTTTACTTAAAAAAAATCCCAGAATTGTACAAAAATGGCATTGCGCACACTTTTGACTTTATCCATGTACACTGCTTTTTTCTTATAAATTAGAAAAATTTGCACGAAAATGCAGGAAAATTTTGTGAATTTTTAAAGTCGGTAAAAAGGACGTATATGAAATTACCTGATCGCGAAAAAGTATATACCCTTTCCAAGGATGAACATTTTCACGTATAAAATAAATAAAATATCCAAAAACTTTTCCCTCTAAATTATCTATTATAAACATCACCTGCGAATTTATGACGTAAACATTAAAAATGGTTGTAAATACTTAATGTCAAATATTTAAATTATTTCCTTGCACGTTTACTTCTACTGAAATGTATTCCAAAATTCTACAAACATATAATTCACAAAAAACTATCATTTAATAAAAAAAAATTAAATTAAAAAAACTTAAAATATAAATAAAACATACATTAAATTAATATAAATTAACTTAAATCTTAATTACTTAAACTAATTCATTGCTAATAAAAATTTTCCAATAGTAGCATATTAATTTATTTATTCTTTATTTTAAGAACAATGCATAAAAAATATCCTCAAATGATTAAAAATACTAACTTATCTATCTTCTTCTACAGATCTTAAGTGCATGCGATCACAAATTCCATTTCACCAGTTCTTGCCCGCTATTCAAACTTATCTGTAATCGCCTCCCTTTCACACAATCTCATTTCATCCCACATGTTGGACATTCATACTTATTCACAATTAATCCTACACTCATACACCATTCAAGCAATTCTTTTGGATTATCGATAAACGCAATAAAAAATTTCGAATTCACTTAGATAGGGCCATGGGATCCAAAAATTAAGCAACACTGTTTCACACAACACACAATGAAGCTAAAACAAAATGCTAAAAACGCAATAAAAAATTCGATCACTGTAGATAGGGCCATGGGAAAAATAACATGTTCACACAAACACAATGAATCTAAATACAAAATGCTATAAAACTGCAGATATTTTTCCAAATTTCCCCCCCTTTCCGATTAAAGAACTGTGCTTTGTCCATAAATGTCACATGACATATCTCATGATCTCTCATTTCTCTCACACAAAATAATGCGTAATTGGAACTGGGTACTTCTCACATTATTGCCAAAGTCCTAGGTAGTAACCTTTATCACCTACCAAAATGTCGCCAAACTGCCTGTTATCATATTCCAAAGATTAGCCCATCTTTGCACTACACAAAGGAAATATAGATTTACCTTATTTATGAATTAACATGTCTTTATTCAAGCAAAATTCCTTAACAGCATCCAAAACTTCCTAAAATTATCTGAACTAGAATCTGTATACTGGCGTCACCACATAAATTCACAAAATAAGAGTAAAAAATATCCTCCGTAGTACCGTTATCATCCGACATTCGACTATATGCATTTCCTTCCTACAAACAGGACACTTAATAATGACTACTAAGTAAGCCTTCATTTACACACCAGTCAATTAATGCACCACAAAACAAGCAATATACTTCCTAACCATCACACATCATAAGCCCTTACGAATTCACTGCAATCATGCAACTGATTATGTCATAATAGGGTTTCCATAACATTCAACTACTCAGGCTACCATAAATAAAACAACTTGATGGTAAATGAAATAACAACTTTGCGATAATACAAGGGGTACCCTTCTCTCTTCACTAACCAGCTTAAAATATAACAGGTGCAAAATATCAGGTACTAGCCTATTATTGCAAACACCTTGATGCAGTTTTCAAAATTTTATGAAAGAAAAGAACACTTCCTTTTACTAGTATAAAAAATTATATATTGCATGCATATTTTATATTTTAACTATATATTTATTCCAAAGACAGTCAATAAATCTAGTTACAAATTAGTTAAGATTTTTGTTTCCCTTGAGGTGGAAATTTTGTAGCAGTTACTTTCAGAAGAATTCGCAGTATAATGACTTTAGGATTTTGTGATTGAATAAATCATTCCTTCAGAAATGTCCCCTCATTTTTTTTCTATGATAGGAAAATTCTACAAGCAAAAATGGTTTAATCCTAGTATCCGGTGCACACGGAATTTGGCTGCTTTCGGCGACTTTATGATGAGCAGTAAAAACGGGACATATACGATGAGTAGTAAACGGGTCATTCAAAGAATATATATAGTTATACATAGTATATAACAATGTATAGTAATAAAGTGTATAGTATATACATAGATGTTCTTTGGGTCATTTTTGGTGTTGGCAATAATTTTTAAAATCTCGCCAAGGCTGCACCGTATACTAGGATTTTACCGCAAAAATTTTAAAATCGAGTAATCAATTAAAAAAAGACAAAAATAAGCTTGCTTTTTCTACAAAAGCTGTTGGAATTTGGAATATAGCAAAAAGAACGAACATAAAAATGGCAACATCGGAAATTGAATATTTGTTATGTTAAACAGACTTTGGTATACTCTGAAGCTTTTGTGATTTCTACTACAGAGGTTGTGATAATGCATAAGTACTTAACTTGCTCTTCTCAAACCCTGTAATTTCAAAAATAAAATTTCTAATTTATTTTGTTACTGGCTAAAGTGCAGAATTGCCCACTTATTTGATTGGCGCTTTTTAGAATAGTAAAAAGAATTGGATTTTTGTATATTTTCATTGACTTTTTAAGTTAAAAATAGCTCAATGTGTGCATGGATAAAGTAGAGAGAGTGCGCAATGCCATTTTTGTGCAATTCTGGGATGTTTTCTTTAAGTGAAAATAGGTCGATGTGTACATGGATACAGAGTATGTGCACTTCTTAAAAATGTGCCAAGCAGTGGGCGATTCTGCACTTTCTCCCTAATTTTTGTATTTTAAAGCTATGCACAATTATCCACTCATTTGCTATCATTATCGATGTGTACATGGACAAAGTCGAGGGAGTACGCAATGCCGAGTTTGTACGATTCTGTGATTTTTTTAAGTGAAAATAGGTCGATGTGTACATGAATACCGAGTTTGTGCAATTATTTGACTTGTTATTTTCAAGTTGGTGATTTTGAAACACGTGCCAAGCAGTGGGTGATTCTTCACTTTCCCCAAAATGTCCTTTAAGATATTTTTTGAAACTTAAAAAACTCGCTAAAATTTAACACGATTTCTGTTTTTTCTTTACCGCAATCACTGTATTTACTCGCATATTCCCACCCCGTAAACTTTCAAATGTAGAGATAACATAAGAAACAGTTTATTAATTTTTGTGAATAATATTCAAATCAGTATTGTATTTATAATTTAACAACACAATCAATAAGATAAAAGCAGGTAATAATATTAGTGTATAATATAAATATAACAGGTAACTACTTATAATAAAAAAAATCAGGTTTAATTGAAGGTTACCTCTTTCAGGCATCATTCTACCTAAAAACTAATATATTAAACAGAACTACAATCACGAAAACTACCGCACTTTTCACTTTCGAATAAACATAAACAAACAAATGAGATAAGCTGAGTTGTTGATTTACTACTCAGTATGATTTTATTTAAATCCCAGATTTTTTAATTTCCAACATTAACATTAAATAACTTATTTATCATCAATTATTAAAGCCTTAAGATAGTTGTAAATTTAAATTCATTATGAAATTTATATTAGAGTACAAAAAACACTGAAATTATAAATATTGATGAATATTTCAATTTAAATTAGAATTTTTAAGTTTCGTCATAGTAAGTATCATCATGTGAATATAAATTTAATTATTGTTAATAAATTTAATTGATTTTGCTTCAGTTTAAATACTTATATGGTATAATTTTCAAAATACAAACTGTTAGTCATTCGTAAATTGCACACGAGCTTTTGTAGTGATTTTAAAGCAAGTTCCTAAAATCAAAATAATGCAAAGAAATTAGACAAAGACAGACAAGTAGACAGATGTCTTGTTTTGCACCCGCTAAGTATTTCTGCACCGATGGGCAAAAAAGCAAGCATAGGTTTATCATATGAGAAAATTTGGAAGTATCTAACTGAAAACCGAAAGTTGCGAATTTACGATCAGAGGATTTTGTGATTATGTTGTAATGGCGACGTCCGAGACAGATGTAGATTATGCTTTTAGAGAACCGTCTATATTATTGTTAACAGCATCTCAAGGAGTTGTAAATAAATACGATGTTTTACAAGTAATACGATCTGTTGTTAGAAGGTATGAGTATCTGATTCTTAGCATTTTAAGTAGCCGGCCTCTTTTGTTCGTATTTATTTTAATAACGTAATAGTGGAATGTTAAATTCATTTAGTGTCATTTTTAGGAAGTTTTTTAGCGTATTTCTAAGGTATGCAGTTTTAATTGCCTGCGTTTGCAGTTTACGATGATAAGCGATCAATGTGTACATTTGAGGGAAAAATGTAAAATAATCCCGGATATTTTTATCAAATTCTTTTGTAAATGATTTAAAAGTAGTTGAAATTTGTATTTTTAAGGTAAATATGATCATTTTTAAATTTTAAGTACTTAGTTCATTTCAGTTATGACGTACGCCTATATAACGGTATGTTATTTGCGAAAACATTGGTAATTATAGATATTATATTTGAATACAATTTATTCATCATGAGAGTACCATATAAAAGTCATGAGAAGAAGATTGTACATTTATTTTGATGGTCTAAATAACCGCTTTCAACTGCATATATCGGGATGCAAAAATGACTTATTTCACTATAAATTTTAATGACTTATTTCCCAGTAAATTTCTTGTGAAGGAATGGAATTTAAAAATTTTGTCCAAAAATGTTTCATGCATAAAAATACCCATGTTATAATTGAGAAAGAGGAACCAAGGAACTTTGAATTACGATCAAACGAGTACAAATATTTGCAAATTTTGAATACAAATATATGCATATTTTGAAAAGAAAAATTATTTGAACACAATTTTATAATTCAGTATTTGGCAGATTACTAGGAATCAGAATTTTATACCCTCTCAAAAAATTATTATTATTCCCTGTAACACATTGTAACTGCTGTTCTAAAGCTGCTAATCTGTCTATTTTAACAACAGATTATTACCTTAAATAAACACAATATAATTTGTCTTGATTAATCTTATTGTGAAGGATGGTTATCAGCTATTACTAATGTCTACAAGTAATGTGATGTTTTACAAGTAATACAATAGGTAGTTAGAAGGTGTGTCTATTATTAATCCATAATGATGAGGTAGACCTTTGGGACATATCTGTGAAATTGGTTATCTGAAATTTCAGTGTTTTTGCATATACACTGAAAATGCTTATTTGTAAGCATTGTTAATAAAACTTTGTTGCATTAAAAATCTGCCTTTTAAAAATAAAGGTGTGAACTATTCTTACAAAAATAGTACATTTAAACTTTTTTCACTTTTTAACAAATTTTAAATTAGCCATACTTATCAGTTTTTTCCAAGCTTACAATATTAAAAATAATATAAGAAGGGTACATAAAAATATATAATTAAAATAAACCATAGAAAAAGTTATGTAGATTCTTTTAGTAACTTTCACAGATTAGAACTGACTATGAGGTAAAATGCATGATATTCTTGTTTGTTGTAATGAATGCTTTGGTATTTAACCAAATATGGTATTATTTTGGAATCTTATCAGTTTGCTACTCTTATTGGAACCAGATTAAAAAAAAAGTATGTACATATGTATGTGCATACTTGAACACGTACATCTATTCATACATGCATACATACAAAAAGTTTTCTCCAATTAAAACTTGATCGAAGTGCTTCTTGAGCCCAGTAATACAAGGTCTGGCTATTAATTTCCAGGACTGATGTAACTGTAGGAGAAGTCGGAAGATGGCGCTAGTGATTGCATATTGAAAAGCGTTTTCTTGTGCATTGCAGTACAATCGATGCCATTCTGAAGTAAGTGCTTCTCGTGGAAAGGTTCATTAAAACATAGCTCTTAAATTCCTATTGTTGAAGTGGAAATGGAGCAAAGAATTAACATAAAATTTTACTCCAAATTGGGCAAGACAGCTGCGGAAACCTACGAAATGTTGAAACAAGTTTACGGCGAGGAAGCATTATCCCGTTCAAGAACTTTTGAATGGTTTAAATGCTTTCGGGACGGGCGCGAAAGCGTCAAAGATGATTCACACACAGGTCAACCGCAATCTGTACGCACGCCGGAAGCAATTGAAAAAGTTTGCAATGTGGTGAAATGTGATCATCGATTGACTATTCGAGTACTCGCC